AAGATGTTCCACTGATTAATTCTGTCAGGAAATTTCTCCTTAAATCTAGTTTGCTTCTCTCCTTGATCAGTTTCCATCCATTGTTTCTTGTCCTGCCCTCAGGTGCTTTGGAGAATAGCTTGACTCCCCCACTTCATTGTGGCAGCCCCTGAGATATTGGAACGCTGCTATTATGTAACTCCTGGTCCTTCTTTTCATTAGACATATCCAATTCCAGCAACTGTCCTTAGTTTTAGCCTCCAGTCCCCTAATCATCTTTGTTGCTCTTCTGTGCACTCTTTCTACAGTCTCAACATCTTTTTTGCATTGTGGCGACCAAAATTGGATGCCAATTCAAGGCATCATAGAGTGATAATAACACTTCACGTGGTCTTGATTCTAATCCTGTATTGATGCAGCCTAGGACTCTGTGGACTTTTTTGGCAGCTACAGCACACTGTTGACTCATGTGTAAGTGGTTGTCCACCAGAATTCCCAGATCACTTACTGCTGTTGAACCAAGGACCACCTATTCTATACCTGTGCATTTGGTTTTTCTTGTCAAAGTGTATACCTTACTTTACTCATCACTGAATTTCATTTAATTGGATAGGACCCAGTGTCCAAGTCTCTGGAGATCATTCTGATCTTGAGCCTATCTTCTATAGCAGGGGTGTCAAACTGGGGGCCCGCAGATGCGTTATGCACAGACCACACCCAACCAGCTCCGCAAAGGGAAAAAACATCATGAAACATCACGAGTTAGCAATGTGGTGCAAGTTTGACACCTGTATTCTATAGTGTTGGCCATTCCCACCGGTTTGGTGTCATCTGCAAATTTGATGAGTTTTATTCTCTCATCTAAATCTTTTAATATTAATTTTCAATATTAACACTGAAATAATGTAATATTTTAATAAATATTTACAAAATATTTGATGTAATATTTTAATAAGTCATTCAATAAGGGTGGTAAGCTGCTAATTTTGTTTTGCAAAAGTGTATTGACAGTAACACAGGATGTGGTGCTGGCTACCAACTTGGTTGGCTTTTTAAAAAACGGTTAGACTAATTCGTTATAGTCCTGGGCTGGCTCTTAACCTTGAGAGTCATGGGAGTGCTTCTGAAGACCCTCTACTGAGAGACCAATAGGCTTCCTTGGGCAGTTGGTCGACCACAACTGAGAACTGACTGTTGAACAAGATGGGCCAGGGAATTGCTTATGTTCTCAACAACAACCTCACAACAGATCAGTGTTTACAAAAATTCCACCTTCTCTTTTAAACATCCAAGCTCAGCTTCCTGTTCTTTTTAATACAGCCATATGCACGTATGTCTGAGCTGTGCAATTGTACTCCCCCTAGCCTACTTAAGTAAATTCCTTACGCACAATAAAAGACTGCCCAGGCAGCATGAGCGCTTTTCATTCCAAAATACAAGGAAACAGTATTAGTAACATCCCAAAAAGCTTATGCTACATGAAATGTGATAATAAAATGCTCTGGCCTCAATATTTGTGCAACATAGGGGTGCTCAGCAAAATAGCAGGACAAATGGACAAATGTTTGCAATCCTTCCACAACCCAGTGGTTGAGTAGAATAGCAAGAAAAAAGGCATAGCCTTCAAAAGTTTTAAAAGCTGGCTTTTAAATATGCCTGGCAATAAATACTGTTTTCTAAATTTGATCAATTTTGTAAGGCAGGGTTATAAAAATCCTGTTCTGGAAAAAATAGAATAGTTATAGCTTTCATTGGTTAAATCCTGAACATTCAGCTAAGACAAACCTCAAATGTTAACAGAATGTCTATTGTCAGACAAGTAGAAAATAGCAGAAACTTCATTTTGGATAAGAATTAATTAAAACTCAAAGCAACTCGTAGTCAAAAATTGAAATATTCAATATAGTCTACAGTATTCCAGAATATGTGTTGGAAAGAGGATGAGATGCTTACAAGCAATACAAAGGAGAAACACAAAAATATGGAAAGAAAAATTAATGAAGTATTAAATTAATGAGTTCAAGTTCCACCAGTCTCTCTCTCTCTCTCTCTTCTTGGTCCAACCAATTTCACAGGGTGGTTGTTGTGGGGGAAAAAGGAAGAGGAAGGTGTGTTGGATATGTTTGTCACCTTGAGTTATTTGTATAAATAATAAACAGGAAAATGTGTGTGTGTGTGTTGTTTTCTTCCTCCATTTTTAAATTCCTGGTCTTTTAGGCCTCAAAATTATGAGTATTTGTGTGCGTGTGTGTGTCATAATTTTGAGGGCCGAAAGACCAGAAATTAAAAAATGGAGAAAGGCAATTGAATTTACTATCTTATCAAGAAGCTACCTCAGCTAAGCATTTCTAAGAAGTCCAAAAAGGCAGATTATTAACAAAATGAACAGAAGAATTTAGGGAACAGAAACATAATGCCCTGGATGCCCTTTCACTTCCTGTTTTTCTCCCAAAGTTTTTCTCCCTTTCAGTAACACCAAAAACATAAGATGTGTTAATTCAATTAGCTTTATGCAGAACTGTAAAATAAATGAATCATGCACCACTGGCAATATTCAATTTAACCCCATACGTTAAATAGTTCCCCTGGCCTTCAGTCAAAAGTCCTGGGAATCACAACAGACTTAACTGCTGCCAAAGGGGGGGAGGGGGGTGTAGGCAACTGACCCAATTTGTAGCCTTCATTCCTCTTGTAGTCAAGTGAAATGAAATCAAGAGGCAGTAAAGATTTCATCAGGGAGATTGTTAAGGGGACCCTATGTCTGAAATAGCTAGCAGTGAATACCCCTTTCATCGTATGCAAGTACTAGCTCCTTTCTGACCTCCCTTCCAAGTGAATTTAAATAGCAATTTATTTATTTGCAATGTTTATAGGCCCTTTTAGTCAACTGAGCAAATCCACAGTTAGTTAAATACATATCAAAGGTTAAATCCAAGACCATACATTATAAAATACCCAGATACACTAGGTATCTAACAATGCCCTATCAAAAAACAAACAATCCAATTTAAATCTGGAAGGATAATCAAGTGGCAGCCACAGTCAAGAGCACCTTTGCACAGTTCCATCTTGTATACCAACTGCAACCTTTTCTGTAATCTTTGCCTAGATTGGCCTACTGTGATGATCTCTATTTGGGATGCCATTAAAAGGCAGTTAGCAGTAGAAGCTGTTCCAGATTGTGGCAACTGGATCACTGAACAGCTCTATTTTGATTTCTGTGGGGGAAAACCTCCCTCTAAAAATCATCTCCCCCCAAACCCTTAAGATAAAGTAGAGTAGGATCTTTAAAGATCCTCTTGATCACAGCTTGCCATGGGAAAGGACCATAGAAACAGGCCTCTTTAGTTGCTGTTCCCCACATCTGGAATAGGATCCCCCCCAGATATCTAATTCATCCAGCAAGACTGCTGTGACTATCCCTCCACATTTACTTTTAATTAGTTTTTGTTTTTATTTTTTTGGATGGGGAGATGTTTAATTCCTAGTAAATCTGGTGTTTTATAATGTATGGTCTCGATTTTAACTGACTGTTATGTATTTATTTTTATTCCAACTATGGATTGGCTCGCTCAGTGGATTGTAACGGTCTATAAAGTCTGCAAATAGATAAATAAATGTCTTTCGGTACAGGAATTAAAGATGTTGCCAAAGCTCACGGAATGACCTATCTAGCTCAGTCTTTGCTTCAGTAACCAGTCAGAAAGACACCCTCACCATTACACATCCCAAGGAGAAAATTGCAGCTATAAAACAGCTTGAACTGATAAAAGCAGATTTTATCTCCTACTGGCCCAAAGTGATATACTGATTTTGTCTCTCCCCCACCCCAGCCCCCATTCCACACCCAATGCAAAAGGCAGAAATGAGCATCAAACATTAGCAGTGCATTTATTAATTGCAATATTGCAAAACCGATGCTTCCCCAGATATCCAGGTGCGCAAGACATAAAGTTGATACAAGCCCCTGCTGTGTTCCAACAGCACCAGCATTCAGCCTTTTTTTTTTTTTTCCCCTCCAGAAAAAAAAGAGCTCCCTAATTCCAGCCACAGGGATAATGAACTGACCGGTCTGGGCCATCAAGTCTGTAATTCTGAGACACAGATAAAATGTAGGAATGACGCACGTCTTTGATTCTTCATCCTCCTCCGCTCTGGTTAGAGACAGCATCAGCCACTGAACGCTCAGCACCCAGGAAGGTACCAAGCGTTCATCATTCTCCATCCTCATCAAATGCATAAGGTCAAAATTGCTGTTCAAGGACCCGGTTCCCCAACCTCCAAAGAAATTTGGAAGCATCACTAACGGGGCCCCGTTGAATTCTCCCTCCACACCCCTCCCAATTCTTTTTTTAAAAAAATGCAAGCCCGGCATATATGCAATGATAATACTCCCCCCCCCCCCCTTTAAGCCCCGTACCCCCCCCCCCCCCCCCCCCAGCAGGGAGATTTTTTTAAAAAAAAAAGCTCCTTCTCAGCCCAAGAGGCCCGAAGGATGCGCCCGTCCGCAAAGGGCTGGCCCAGCTTCCCACGAATAACCTGAGAGCAGCTCCTCCTTGCAAAAGCCAACTACCTCTTTGGGCGGCCACCCGACCCGTCATTTGAGAGAGAGGGGGAGGGGGAGGCGAAGAGATTGGGGAGGGGGGCTTCCCGGGCCCAGCAGCATGTCTCCCCCCCCAAAAAAAAAATCCCGGGGCCTTTCCTTGGCCCGCTCGCCTGCCTCCTTCCAGCATCCGCGGGCTCCTCCTCATTCATCCCTACCAGCCAAGCCTATAAAATGGGGGAATGGCCACGAAGGAGACCCCCCCCACAACCCACCCCCCTCCAATTCAACGCCGGTTCCTCAAGGCGGCAACGACCCCCCCAAATGGGACTCCCCTTTTCTTCACCTCCCTCCACCCCATTTGCCGCCCCCGCCCCGTATCCCCACAGCCGCCCCCCCTCCCCCCAATGACCGCCCCACTGCGCCACCGTCGCCTCAACTCGCCCCGACTCGCCGGCTTTCGCCCGGCCCTCCTCACCTGCCGCCTTCGACTTCGGCGGCGCCGCCGCCTCAGGGCGGCCTCCGCGAGCCGCGACGGGGCGTGAGGGGCGGGCCCGGGTGTCCCTCAGCCGGGGTGGAGGACGGGCGGTGTGGGAAGGAAGGAAGGAAGGAAGCAGGGCCGGCGACGGGGCGTGAGGAGAGGGGGAGTGGGGATGGGGGGGGAAAAAGGAAAGCAGCCGGCCGGCCGGTGCTGCCAACCGCCCCCCAAAAAAAAACAAAAAGAAAAAAACCCCACGGAGCCCTCGCGCCTCACGATCAAGCCGGCCCGGACACAAGCGACGTGCGCGCCCACGAAGCCGGCAGCAGCGAGATTGAGGAGGACGCGCGGCAGGGGGAGCGGGCGCGTGAGGAGGCGCGAGCGCGCGAACGGTGGAGGGCGGGGGGGGGGGGGGGGGGGCGCGCGGGGGAGGGGGGCGGGCCGTCCGGCGGGGGGGGGGGGGGGGGGAGGCGGGTCGGGGGGGGGACGGCGGGGGCGGGTCTCGTGCGCGCGCTCGCGCGCTCCTGAGGGGAGATAAGAAGAGAAACGATTTTAATATATATATTTAATATATATATATATATTAAAATATTATATTATATATATGATATATATAGTGAACGATGAGAAGCGCCGACGAGGCTGGGAAAGGAGAGCGGCGGGCGAAGGCGCCGGCTTTCCCAGGGGCGCGAGGAACGTGGATGGACAGGAAGGGGGTGGGGGGGATAGTGTGAGAAGAGAGAACGCAAGAGCGTGCCCCTCCTCCTCCTCTCTGGCGCGTGCGCACAAGGCTTTGCTGCTGCTGCTGTTTGCTGCGGGATTCCCGGGTGCTTCCCCGGCTGGCTCGGGCATGGCCGAGGCGCAGTGGTTCTGCGGCAGGAGGGGTAGACCCCCCACCTCATCCCAATCCGCCTCGTGTTCTGGCTGGCTGGGGATGATGGGAGGTGGGGGTGTAACTCGCGGAGATGCAAAAGAGGCGAGAACTCCCCTTTGGCGATCGGATTGCATCTTCGCCCTGTAAAGCTACGTCTAGTAAAACTGACTGTTCCCTGACCGGGAATCGAACCCGGGCCGCGGCGGTGAGAGCGCCGAATCCTAACCACTAGACCACCAGGGAAGGTGACAGCAAAATGTTCTGTGAAGCCTTACCAAAGTTAAATTTTCAGGCTTTGCAATTGCTTTATCTACAATTTCTATAGATCTGTTCTGCTCCTGTGGAGGATGGAAGAGAAAGCAATGTGCAATTAAGCAAACGTTGCATACCTGTCCACATATGTGCAGAGAGAGAGAGAGAGAATGAGGTCCATGTGTTAACAGGGGTTGTCAAACTTGGCATCTTGAAGAACTTGTGGACTTCAACTCCCAGAATTCCTGAGCCAGCATAGCAGGGAATCCAGATTCACTTAACGACCATGTTACTAACGTAAACAACTGCACTGATTCACTTTAGCAACTGTGGCAAGGACAGTCGTAAAATTGGGACAAGCTCACTTAACAAAGGTGAGCAACATAAATGTTGGGCTCCACTGTGGTCGTAACTGGAGGTACAGCTGACAAGGAGTGGGAGTGTGGCTCCTTTGGCTGTGGAGGAAACTGGGGAAGGGCAAAATCTGGCTGGGCAGAGCAGGGTGGAGGTAGAAGAAAGGAGAGGGAGTTCAGAAGAAGACCCAGGCCCACCCCCTCTTCATCCTAGGGCAGGCAGGGAGGAACGGAGAAGGGAGCAACGTGGGTTGCATGGCTTACAAGGGAGGAAAGGGCCCTGATTCCCTTCATTAGCCACACCTGGGAATAAAAGTTTAAAAGAACTAAATGCTGAGTGCGGCAGCTGCTGGGAGCAAACGAGTTTATCTTGTGTTGACTTTGCTTATTTGTGTTCCTGGCATCCTTCCAACCGTGTTGAATAATTGCCGTGCCTTTCACATCTAGAATTCCTTCTCTTGCCCTGCTGGACTAATTACCTCATCTTGCCTTGATTGGACTTATAGTTACAGTTTTGTGTTGACCACGTTTCGGACTTGATTCTCTGCAGCCAAAGGCTGTTCCTGGGAGAGTTTTTCTCCAGCTAGAAGGTAACCAGGACATTGGGGGCAAAGTTGGAGCTAATAAAGGGACTTTTATTGATTAACTGACTGTATTGTCTTTGTGCCATGCCCAGGGTCTTCACAACCTGTATTAACCTTACTCGCTGAGAAATAATTTGATAGCTAAATCTGGACATTGCATGTTGCTTGAGTGTCTGGCATTGATGTCTTGGGACACAGAAAAGTTTCCAAATGGCCTCTCTAGTCCCCCTCCCCATTCTTTACCCCTGAGATGGGCTAGGACTACAACCCCCAAAATGCCCACCCAACTCTTGGAGGAAAAAAGCTTCTGCACTATCAAAGCTGTCTCAAAGAACAAAGTTTAGGGCCGAGGACATTCTATAGTTTTTTTCCACTTCCTAGTCTAGCCTACAAAGGAGAAATTTCCTGGTGGTCCCCTGTCCATGTATTTACTGTCAGATTTGCTTCACCTGCTAAAGTCTGACATAAGCAGCAACTTCTGATTACAGCTAGTCCTATAATTATGACCACAATTCAGCCTACAATTTTGATTGTAAGTCATGATGGTGTAAACCAGAGATTCTTGACATCAGTGTTTGTTCGCTGGATAAGTCCTGTGAATGCTGAAAGAACATTCACACAGCACTCCAGTGTTCGTGCACCTTGGCAGCTTGAAGACATATGATCTGACAGTTCATACTTACAACTGGTTGCAGAAAATCACTGGAGAAGCCTGCAGGAAAGGTTGCAAGTCCCTGAGTAAGTCTCCACCATCCCGCACACACATCCACACGCCAACCCACATCACACCTCTTGCATACCCGCTCACCCGCTGTTCTGACCCAAACCTGGTTCCAAGAGAGTAAACACAAGACAAAGGTACCAGCATGACCTTTAATGTTTCATTTACGAACCCCGTTTCTTCACAGATAAAAGGCTGCTTCCAACCAATAAGAAGGAACCTTGCCAAGTTTTTTGCAAGGCTGCCAAGAACAACAGATACATTTCCTAAACAATAAATCAAAGAGTCTCCAAACACCAACCAAGGTATTCTGAACGTCCACATGGTTTGAGTGCAAAAAGTTCTTTGCTTCCTGCAAAGAACTGCAGCTTCTCAGCTAGCTTTTATCTTCTCAGGGAGGGGCCATTACCTTGCAGCCTTACTCCCGAGTCACCCATGCTGCTGAAGGTACTCTTTCCTTTGAGCAGCCCTGTGCGCACACATACTTGGCACAGGTGCCTCGAGGGCCTCTTCATCACTCAGAGGTGGTATTCAGCAGGTTCTGACCAGTTCTGGAAAACCAGTAGCGGAAATTTTGAGTAGTTCGGAGAACCAGCAAATCCCACCTCTGACTGGAGATTTTACGGTATCCTTCCCCTGCCACGCCCACCAAGCCACGCCCACAGAACTGGTAGTAAAAAAAAAAATTGAATCCCACCACTGATTCCAATCCCTACATCACATGTAGGCCCCTCATCTGAGTCCTTGCTCTCCAAGACCTCAGCCGTCCACACCTACTGCTGGCGAACACAACACCCACCCTGACCCTTGCTATGCCTCTAATGTCCCCCCTTGCCACCCCGCCCTATGCCTCCCCCCTGCACACCCCCTCACTCCCTTCTCCCACCTGGCAGCAGTTGCCAAACTGGTGACTTGCAATTTCCTGCTGGCTTCCCCAGTGACTTTGCTTTGCCAGCAGGAACTTACGTTGCCTAAAAATTGTATGATTCACTTAACGGCAGCTGCCACGGATTGCTGTTGCAAAGCAATGCGGACATGTTTTAAAACCGTGTGCCTTAGCGATAGTAACTCCAGTCCAACTGCTGCCACAAGTCAAGGACTTCCTATATTTTTATTTGTACAAGTACTCCTCAACTTACAACCACAATTGAGTCCAACATTTCTGTTGCTGAACCAGAAAGTTGTTGAGTTTTATCCCATTTTAAGGACTTTTTTTTTTTGCCATATTTGTTAAGTGAATCCAGTTCTTAAGTTATAACACAGTCGTTAAGTGAATCTGGTTTCCACATTGACTTACAAAAGATGATCACGCGACACTGTAACCATCATAAATACATGCCAGTTGCCAAGCATCCAAATTTTGATCACGTGGCCACGGGAACGCTGCAACGGTCATATGTGTGGAAAATGGTCAAAAGTCACTTTTTAGTGCTGTTGTGACTTTGAATGGTCACTAAATGAATGATTGTAAGTCGGGGACTACCTATACTGTGTTTTTACTGCACTGCTATCAAAAGAATAAAAATCACAGTGTAAATTTGCACCATACTTACAGTACATTAATCTTAAAACATTACCTAATTCCAGTTCTGACATAATTCGAAATAGTATCCACTGCTATCTCCGAAAACAATGCTTAACAGCTGCAGCTGTAAGAGAGCATGGTGCATTGAGCACAATACATCCCAAAATTCATGCATCAGCAACCACGATAAGTTGGCTTTAAGAAAAATGTCATGAGTAATTACAAATTTGGCAAGGAATGTGAAAAGCTAGAGCAAACAAATGATGTTATGTACATCGGTAGAACGTTTGCTGACGTTGGAACTATTGATGGAATAATGCAGACTTGTGGACTTGCCAAGTTTGGGGACCCCGGTGTAGAATGTTATACTTCGGTGGAGCTGCTGGCTTGGGAACGCATTCAACTCTGCCCACTGCCAGGAGTTCGATCCTGACCAGCTCAAACTCGACTCAGCCTTTCATCCGTCCGAGGTGGGTAAAATGAGGACCCAGATTGTTGGGGCCAATAGGCTGACTCTGTAAACCACTTAGAGAGGTCTGTAAAAGCACTGTGAAGCGGTATGTAAGTTTAAAGTGCTATTGCTATTTCTTCACCCAAGTCCTTGGCATCATACACATATTTTGTATTTAGTTTAGTTTATTGTCACTGCACCTCGTACAACAAAATCAAACACCATCTTCAGTGCACATCATGACTATGAAAATAAACACAAACACACATCGTTCACGCTCCACATAGAATTGAAAACCCCGACACCACACCATACAGTAGAATTCAACAGAGCTCCTGCCCTGGGATAGCAGCTCTTTTTCAGCCGATTTGCCCTTATTTTTATTATCCTGTACCGTCTGC